CCTACTCCTGCTGGCCACACTATTCCTGATACAAGCTTCCCTCACTTGTATCACATTCCTCTCGAGATTTGTGTAGGGAAAACTGCTAAGAAGACCAAAAAGAGAGACCTACAAGCAGGTGTTTCAAGAGAAGACATTTAAAGAGAGGTTAGTAGGGAGAGGAAGATGTGGCAGGAAGAAAAGAAGAGTTTTGAAGGACAATTAGATGGAATACTAAAATAGAATAGCAACTAGTGTTTGTCAGCAAGGGGAAAAAAAAGGAGACTGTTAAAGTAGTTAAGACAAAAGAGACAATTTCCCCTTCAATGAAAAAGGGCAGGGGAAAAGGACTTCACAGAAATAAGGTAGAGAAAGAAGAGAAAGATGAAAGCTAGAAACATTGTTACTGAGAAACAAAACAGTTGAAGGAATGATAATGGGGGGGCATGTGCAAAAGCATTTTGAACTAAGTGGATGACCATTTATTTGTGCTGCTGTAATTGATATTTCTTCGGCTGATTTGTGCTTGAAAACAGAATAAAAAGATGAGGACAGATAGTTACTTGAGTGCTAGCTTATATGAATGGTTTTGGTAATATGGTCTGGATTATGTAATTAAATAATTCAAATTATCTCAGTTACTGTCTATTTTAAGCCATTTCTTCCCTGGGTATCCTGATGTGTCTCTGGAATGGACACAGTGTGACTGTCTCGGTGTAAGGCTGTTCCCTTTCTTCTCCAGAGGTGCTGTTTCTATATATAGAATGCATCTGAGGGAGAACCCACCTGCTTGCTTAAGGAACAGTCTTATACTGCAGATAAATGCAGAAATAGTTGGAGGGTAACAGGATTCTCTTTTAAAAAAACGGTGTCTGAACTGCTCTCTATGAAGTGGTTCTGCATTCTGGGTACGTTCAAATATTCCCATCAGGGAAGATTTTCAGTGCTTTCTCAGGGATGCACTTGGAAAAAATCAGGTTCTTTTCCCTCCCCACTTAAATACAAACTGCAGAATATGTTATAGTAATTAAAAAAAAATGCTGGGATGAATAGTTCCCACGTCCTTCTAACCTCAGAAATGTTAATTGGGTTAAGCTTCAGCATGTAAATGTTTTAGTAGTATAATATTAAGTGATGAATTTAATTTGTGTCAATCCATCAAGTCATCAGCCCTCACCTATATAGGAAAAGGTAACCGATTGAAATGCATAAGTTAAAATGAAAAAACCCACTCATATCTGTGTAGAGACACATTAATAAGCTGATTCTGTAATATATATAAAATCCAGTGCAGTTTTCCCATAGAAGCAGCTCCTGTACCTTCTTTTAGCTGTAGTGAGATCACATCGTGTCTTCTCCCAGTGGAAAAAGAAACAAGCATCCTCCCAGATCACTGTGCTCTACAGTGTATACTGAACAGCATGGAGGTTTGATACGCTTGTGTCAATTGATTGTGATATTATTTAAAAAAAATAATTTCTATCTTTTCTAGTTAGTAGGGAATATGATGTAGATCTTGAATCTAACCAAAACGACTGACCAGTAATTTCACTTAAGAGCAAGACTGTGAGTTATCAGGAGCTTTTCTCCAGAAAACTCGTGTGTATGCGATCAGAAGCATCTTGTACCATCTTTTACATTGCTTTATGAAATGATAATACACAGAATTAGATGTATGGATATCAAAATAATCAAGGAACACTGAATACTGCTTACTCTTTATGATTCTGTAGTATCATCTGATGTAGAGCCAGCGAGCAAGACAAGGCCAGGCTGGAGTTGTGTAGTGCAGTGGATGAAAGTGAATTAATAAAACCACTGGACCATGAGCCTGTGAGAGTGCAAGTTTCTGCTGCTGTGCTATAGGCATGAAGGAAATATTTTCTTACATACCATTTCCATTTTTGTTTAAGCTTTTTGTGAGGGAAGCAGCATGTTGTAGTTTACATATTAGTTTTCTGATTTTCTTCCTTCTCTTGGAGCTTGTGTAAGGAATGAGGTAGTTATCCTTTACCTTAGCAATTAAGCTCATTTGTGTATACAACTGTAGGTGTTCATTCGGTGTTTGAAAGCAAACAGAGAATCTCTTACTTGTCTTTTTTTACATCATTAGCCTTTTCCCCATGTATGTGATTTCTTTCCTCCATGACACAACGACCATTTCTGAAAGCTGTGAGAAGGAAATAATCATTGGACATGTGAATTAAGGATATTTCTGTTTCTGAAGACTTGTACAACCTTTTCGTCTTCAGAAATAGACACAAACTTTTATGAAGCTGTGAAAACAAAAGACAATAAATGTTACTCTTTTTCTGAGAGTGTGTCTGTTGACTCAAGAGGAAGTTGTGGCTGAGTTACAGATCCTTGAAAATGATGACCCATTAGGAGACAGAGCTCAGATTTTATTCAATTGAGAGGTTACAGAAAGCATCGAATGTAGTCGTACACGAAGAGTGACAGTGTGTGTGAATGTGTGTATAATGTCATTTGCATTTTAAATTTGTCTAGGAGCATCTTGGGGGCATCTTGTTTTCTTCCATTTTAGAAATCTGAATAGCACCTGTAATTAAGGGAGAAAACTGAGCCCTGGAAGCTAGGTGGGACTTCCATCTATTGATCTGCGTAAACCCGGCTTATGCTGTCAGGGGAGCAGCAGTCAACTGCTGAGCTGCTTTGTCACCGACATAAGCTGAGAGAGGATTTTTTTTTTTTTTTTTTTTTGTCTATACTGTTTATACACCAGTCTATAGACCTGCTGGCTGGTTGAATTTTAAAGAGTGTGGAGGTTTAAAGACTTGTCCCCAGAGGGATTCTCCTGCCAGTTGGGAAACGAGCTGAGGCTGCTCTGCAGAAGTTGAGCGCGCATGAACTGGCTGGGGGAGGGACAAAGCGGAGCTGGGGGAAGTGCTGTCCTGCAGCAAAACAGACCCATAATTTTCAGGTTGTTTAGTCAAAATATTGAGCTAATACCTTTGGTTTTTTTGTTTTTGTTTCCTTTTTTGTGTGTGATAATTTATTCTGAGACAATACAAAGGGGAACATAAATGAATACGTTTCCATACCCAGTTCTGTATCAGTGCTAAGCTCACCAGGCAGCAATTAAAATCCTCGGTTTTAAGGAGAAAATGACTTCCTATAGTGTGAGAATAGGTGCAGATTTGGAAAGGGAATTTAAATAGAGTATAAAATACTCTTTCTTTGGAACAGGAAATACAAGCTTTATGAACATGAACAAAGAGACTATTTGGAAATGTTTAGGAAATTTCTGAGTTCAAAGTTTTGAATGGCCTGTTCTGCTTGCTTTCTTTTGTTAGACTTTATTACTACTACTACCAGCATCACATATGTTTGTTTCCTGCCTACAGAACTTAAAATGTTTACCTGCTCTGTTTGTATTTTGCTCCTCATGCTTCTTCTGTGGCCACTCTCAGCAGTCAGGATGGTGCTTGCGCAGTTTCTTTTGGTGAATATTGTATGTACTGCTGCTGTTCATAATTCAACTAACCACCTTTCTCAAAACACAGTGTGTGGCTTTCATGTCCTCCTTTATCTGTGCTGACAAAGTAAAAGTTCTTAAGATTTCGTGAACTCTCTTGTAAGGCTTAGAAATTCTAGAAAAATTAACTTTTCCATTTTGTTCTGCATGATGACTTACTGGGGTATGTCACATACCTTTTAAATGTTGCAACTAACATATGCGTGTTGTATTCAGAGGCATCCTTTTCCTGAACTCTTTGTGCCTTGCTGATTAGCTTGCATGGGTTCTTCATGTTTTACGCTATCCACTGCGCCAGGCAAATGTTTGAAGTAAATAGTCATTGTGGTGTGTAGGAATTTAAATACATAATTTCCCCTAATGGGAGTTGGCTGTTCAACATGCAGTAAATGGAGAGTTCAGGCTGGAAAGTGATAACATCTTAGATCAAGTTCTTAAAGCCCCCTGTGCACCTCTGGAAATTTGCGATCAAGATGCATTTTTCTGAAAACACGCACCTTGTGGGATAACTCGTGTATAGCGTGGTGTACCTGTCTCTGTTGCTCTGCTGCACATTTCTGTGGCTTTGCTGGCCAACTGCACTGATGTCAACTGTCTGTTCTTAGCTGAAGCATTTCACAGAGGGTTTGCTTTCCCAGTTGGGAGCAAGGAAATAAAACCTCTTTTTCTGGGATCTTGTAAGGTCATTGTTTAATATTTGCTGCTAACTGATCTTGTAATTCACTTTTTTTTTTAAAAAAAAAGAAAAACGTTGACTAGTTTGAGAGCATTTTTATATTTTAATTAACACATTTTATTTGCCACTAAACAGCTTCTTAAATAAAATTCTGCAAGAAAGAGTCACGTTATCCTTTCATATTACGGTACAAACGTTGATCTGGAGGATTTCTCGCCCCCCCTTTCCCTTTATTAATAGCAAGGCTTGCTTGTGAAACCCAAAGGGTTAATCATATAAATTTCTCCTTTGGACCAGCAGACGATTTCCATCATTTTCAACATTTGACTATGGAACATGTATAGAGTTGTTATACCTCTCTGTAATTTATTCTGCTGCCAACTTCATTCCCTTTTCTCTGCCTGCATTTTAATTGAAACAACATTTGTATTTTTGAGCCAGGATCTGTCAGAAGTCCCTGTGGCTAGTCTGTGGTACAAGTAGCAGCAGAAGTGGCTTACCCATATGGTGTGGTGCTTCTTGTAAAATCCATATGGCCTTGTTGAAGGGAATCCCAGCGGGGATGTGAAGGGTGTTAATACCCTTCAGGCCAGGCCTTTCCCTCCTGGGGCTTCTATGGCATTGTCTTTGCAATCTGCCAAAGCACAAACTTAATTCCTTTTTAATAATCAATGATTTCAGTCCAGGAACGTGTGCTCTATTTTTTGCAATTGTATATTCCTTGAATTTATTATTTGTTATGGATTTTTTTTGATATATTTTAAAAATGAGCCGTAGGGCAATTGCTAGCAAATACAAATAAAAGCCTTTTCAAAATCCTAACTGTATTTCTTTTACTTGTATTTACAGGAAGTGCTGAACAGCATTCCCAAGTTCTGCTTTCCTTTTGACATTGAAAGGTATGTGTTACAGTTGCTGTTTATTTAAAAATATTTAATAGAAAATAATATTTAGCATAATTTCAAGGAAAGAGGTAAAGAAAAGGAAAACATATTGTACTCCCTAAACTTGCACCTGCAGATGAGAACACGTCTTTTGTGTTCAAGTGTGAAATCACTACTAGGAAGTTATCACAGCAAAATGCAACCTTTACGGAATTTTAGGGATATCTCTTTCAAGATAGAGCTACATTCTGGCTCCCAGTTTTGTCCATTGTAATTGTAACTGCCATCTGTGTTAATACAAGGGTATAACATAGTTTCCTTTAAATGGCAAGCATCATAAAAAATGTTACGGTGCACCAGGGTATAAAAAGTCACCGAGCAGTACTGAAAACATGTTGTTTGAGTTCAAAGAAATTAAGACTTTAATTGCATGGAAGTAACTGAATATGCAATTGATTTTTCTCAGAGAAGAATCAGGACTGTTATTTATAATTAATTAGCCCTTGCCATTCTGGTATCAGTTATAGCGTGGCTTCCATGTAATGCCGGCAGTCATTTAAAGGGTTCATATAAAACATTTTTGTTCAGTAAAGTATTGATTTAGGCTCATCAAAATGATTAATGGTAATTAATCAGTTGTACTCACTCAGGTTGGAAAACTCATATTGTCCAAATCAGCAAAGATTGAATTAGAAGCTTGATTTGCATAATTAATGAAAGATACACCAAGGTAGTGTGCAAGCTTAGCCAGTTTCAGAACAACATTGGCATCAGTTGTAGATGGAGACTCAAAGACGAGAAGCTTCTATCAGACGCAAGAAGCTGCTGTCACTGGAGTGCAAGATGGTGTCTGTGTATAGACGAAAGAAGAGAGGCTTTGCAGAAAAACACACCGGCAAAATAAAAATCTTCATCAACACAACTTCCCTGAAGTAAACTAGGTTCATTTAGCCTTTTGTAATTGAATTTAATTAGGTTGTTTGGATTTTGAACTGGTTAAGTTCACTGTCTTTTAAGCTGTTTTAATGACATAACCAATACAGTTGTCAATGTTGGCTTTAAAGAATTAGTCTTCAGTGTGCTTAAGATATGTACAGAATTCTGTTTAAAACTGGTAAGGAAGACGAATAATGGAAATAAAACTTGAGGATAACAGAAAAAGGTGAGGTTCCATTGCTGCCATCCAGTGGCAAGAAGATAATCAGTGGCAGCAAATAATTACTTTCAAATAACTTGTCTTGTGTTAACTGTTTCTGTTGAACCATTCAGGACACACTTGCTTGTATGAGATGGATAAGCTTAATCAATACACTGTGGGAATGCATGAATTTATAGCATAGCTAGGTATGTATTTTAGCTGAGTATCTGAAGGGGGAAGGAAAAAAGAAAAGCAAAAGTTATGGAACGTTTGTTGTTTGTCTGTCAGTGCTCCCCTGTGACCCCCTCCCAGCCATGCTTTTTGACTCTTGGCCTCATACTCGACTGTAAAGCAGCGCTCTCAGTGATGCTAAGTTTCTTCAAATTTCATAAAAGTTGGCAGTTGAGCAGAGGAAGCAGAGGTTCTTGGAAGCTGAGATAGACTGATGAAGGGAAAAAACCCGACATGTTGAGTCTGGCCTGCTGACTGCGCAGGCAGTACCGTGGTGTCTTTAAAATCAGCCACCTCACTCGAGGCTTCTTGTGTAGCTGGGAGCTGAGTTTTAGGGGATTTTCAGGAGAACAAAAGGCAGTGAGACATCACCAGAGTATAAAAGAGCACCGACGAGGAGGAGGGGCAGAGCTGTTGTGGGGACAAGGACAGAAAGACTGGAAGCTCATTCAAGAAAGCAGGTGACTGTTTCCTGGCAAGCTATTTGTGTGAGCGGCTTACTGGCTGTGCAGTGTATGTACCAGTTACTACTCAATTCAGGCATCTGCTATAGCCTAGACGTATATTACCACTTTTTTTTAGAGAAAACTGTTCCTTTGTGTTCTGCTTTCTCAGTTTTACTTTTTTTTTTTTAATTTAGACTGATAAAGAAAAGTATTGAGAAAAACACTGCTGTAGCTCCTTTTTAGATGGCTTTTTTCTAATGGTCATTTAAGATGTGACAAGCATTTCAGTTTTTGTCTAGCCATAAATGTGCTTTTCACTTGTCTAGTGAATATATTCATATAAATATATAGATTTTTTTTTTCTTGTATCAGGGATAATAATAGACCATACACCTAATACCCCCAAGTATTTTACAGGCAGTTTCAATGACAATTTCTGTACAGAAAGCTTGAATTGAAGTGAAACACAGAGTATCTGTTTCATTGACTGAGCGTACTGTACTTGAGGGAGCATCATTTCTCAGTCTGTATTATGTGTACTATACATAGATAAACCACTTCAAGCAACATCTGATCCTAGTAAGGGCTAGAAATTGCCAGTGTCAAGGTGTTAACTTCCACTGATGCTTTTGATCAAGATACCTAGAGTAAAAAAAGTGTGTCTGTGCCATAGATTGCTTTGGGGTTCCTACTGTACAGCAGAGTTGGAGGGAATGGAGTGGCTTTTCTGTTAACTAGTTAAATAAAACTCATTAAAGTAGGAAATCTCTATTCTTCAAATTATGGAAATAGGAAAGTTAAAGCACAGTGGGTAAGATCATCGTCACCTGTTTTCCTCCACCTCACCTGCATTAATTAGTGAATGAAGTGGGAACATATATTTGATTTTGTTTTGTTCACTATGCTACATGGATGATAGACTGAGATCCCAGTTTGGTTCTTGCTGTTTGATGCTGGTTACATTGTCTCACCAGACATACTGATTTTACCTTTTATGCAGATGTTATAAATAGCTGTACGCTACTTATTCTAATTATCAAAAGTACATACTGTGAATGGTGATTAAAAATCTATAGGTAACTCCCATTAAATCTAAACTGAAAGTTAAGCCAAAAAAATGCACAATGGTGTAATATTTTGACCATGACTTAAACTTCAAGTTTTATATATAATTTTTTATTGAAAGCAGACACATAATTTCTTTACTGCTGGTTATGGCTCACGTTTTATTTTGAAGGGGTTAAGAAACGAATTGCATCATAGAAATTCTTGAGGATTTGCTCCAAGAACTTGTGTCTTTTGTGAATAACTGACTTTAGGCTTAATAAATGGCACAATTGTACAACATTTTAGCAGTTTGCATGTAGATATTTACAAATAAGCTTCCTTTTTTCTGCTGCAGAATTCCTGCCATTGTTTCTTTTCATATGGAATAGGAGGATTTAACATTTGAGAATGTAGAGATTTTGACTTCCTTTAAATATTTGCTCAGCTAATACTAGTACATCAGAAAAGGCACTTTGTCATCTTTTTTGTTCCTTGAATTATGCAAATTCTGCATGGCTTTCTTCACTTTTCTTTCACCATTGATCTTCTGTGTTTTTGCTCTCAACCCAAAACTCGGGTATAATTTTGCAGAGAGCCCACACCTCAATCTCTGCATCCATCAGTTACTGAGTTGGTTGATGATTAGTGAGCATGCAACTTGTCCTCTTGTTCCTTTTGACACCATTTCAAATTCAGTCCTAAGCTGCGCTGCGTCACTACTTGACCCCTCAATTTTATCTGCGCTTTGAATCTCTCTCATTTGTCTCTGCCATAGATAATTTCCCTCTCTCCTACCATTCCTCTCTATATTCCGTTTCAGGATGCATTTCTTCTGCTGTATGTGTAGCATGCATGGCTTTTTAGCTAAGACATGGTGGAAACTGCCTGTAGGATCAGCATGGAGACAATTACATGCACCTCATTAATTTCCCCTACGGCGCTCACCCGATCGCAGGGAAGTGTTGTGTTTTGGAGTGTAAGAAGTGGCTCTACTGCTGATACTGTAGATGTCTCGTTAGGAGTAGAATACTGCGTAAGTATGGGAATTACTGTGCATATTATTTAACTCATAATCTGTTAGGGTCAATAAGTAATGATGGCAGGAGTGACATCACTGTCACTCTCCTATTGCTGGCTAATGCTGTTTCTGTTGGCATTTCTGGCAAAAGTCTGTGTGCAGAAACACAGCTATGATCAAGACAAATGCAAAACAGTGGTTGGGGAGATCACTGGATTTGCAGATCTTCCACAAAAATTTTTGCCTTCAAAGTAATTAGCTGAGAATGAAAAGTGAACAACTGAGAACGTATCTCAAGCTGTACAGGTGAAGATAAATAAACTGTAGTACCTCCTGTGCACTTCAGCCATTCTGGTCAGTTTGCAAGATGGGTTGTGAACTTAACTCACTGTATTATGTTATGTATATGTAAGAGAGAGGTCATTGTAAAGACAGGTTGCAGCATGAACTGCGCACTGTGGAAGGGTGTAATTATTTGTTTCGAATGTGAGTTATTTGGTTTCCACCTGTGTGCAGAAGTGGACCTGTCTGAGAGGAAGCGTGGGCACGCCAAGGGAGCCTAGTGTGCTCCCACAGACCGTGGCGAGGTACGGTGGGCAGGGCCCCAGGGCAGAGCAGGCATGTGTTGCAACTTCGTTACACTCAGTGAGACTCTCTGCTGACTAGTCATGGTTTCTTTTAAGGCTTCTGTTTTGAGAACATAACCCCAGTTGTAAAGCTAACTATGCTCTTTTTTTTTTTTTTAGTGGGAATTTCCTTATTTGGTGGTAGCTTTATATGTTTTCATATCTTCTGCGGTTTTCTTCCTGTTCTTGTTCTTTCCGATATGCAAGGGGTTGGGGTTTCTGGGAAGCGGAGCTCAAGTCAGACAGCTCAGTTGGAGCCAAGGAGCCCGCCACATGGGGAGTCTGAGCTGTGAGGTTGTGGATCATGGAGCGGGCTTGGAAGTGGAGAAGATAGTCCCTGAAGCTTAGATTTGGGGATAGCAACTAGTTGAAGGAGATGGCCCAGCCTAGGGTTACATAGTCTGTCCATCAGCTTGTACCACTGCCTTAACATCTGTTTTTCAAATTCCTGCTTGAAGCAGTTTCTAATCTGTTCTCTGATCTGGGGACAATTAAGGTGAATAACTGGTGGAATTTGCTTGTCAGCATCAGGCTGGGAGAAGAAATACATTTGAAATTTTCAGACTAAGGTAGAAGCTGCCAAAGCTTTAGTCAGAACAGTATACTTTAGTTACGTTGGTCAAGTATGTGTATGTGGCACCTTATAATTAATGATGTTAGTAACCTTGTTTTCTTTTAAAAATAAGTCCTCAAAATCTGTATTCCCATGCATAAAGTCTTTCAGTTTTTGAAACTCATTGAAAAAATGAACTCTCTGAAAAATCCCTCTGAAATTCAAAACCCTTTAAAAATTCCTCAAATTTGAAGAAAAAATAGTTTCAAACATCTGTGTCTTAAACAGATTCATTTGGAAGAAAAGCAATTCTTATTGAGACCAAGGGATAAATTTAATGTTTAGACATGCTGGTTTTTGTTCGAAGAAAAGATTTAATTCCTGCCTTAATCAGTTCTCTCAAGGTGGCCTTAAAATGAGGCCTGAACAACAGCTGTAGTCTAAACAAAAATCTTTAAAATTACTCTTTACCTATTCCATGGGTACCAAAGATCCTTTTCTGCATTGTGTAGGTATATACTTAGAAAAGTTTAAAAACTACTTTTATTCCTATAGTGAACTGTAATAACCTTGAAAGAGCCCATTGTAGTTTTGCAGGGTTAATAAGTATTTACACACATTCTTTGCTATTGGTGATTTATTATTGTTAAACTAAGATGAAACGTAAGCATGCAGGGCAGGAGTTGAAAGTAAGTCAAAAGCAAGGCAGAGGAATAAGTGAGGAGAAGGTTGGTGGTGGTTGGGAACGATTTGTGATTTGTGCTGGTGCTCCCCGCACGAGTGAGTAGATCGCGCTCTCTGCAAACAGCCGACCAGACTATTTGACTTTTTTTGCAGAACGTTTTTGAAGCTTGGCCCGTTGATCCTGCACTCTGATG